GGGGTCCTCACAGTCTGCCCGGAGTGATCGAACCGAAACTGCTGAGAACCGGGCTCAGCGTCCCTCAAATGGATATGATGATGACCATGATGATACTGATGATACCATAGATAATGATGCTAACGAGAATAATGATTCAAATACATGAAAAAATATAGAAGATTATGCTGTATCAGCTATTCTGGCCTCCTAATCTTAGTACAACTTCTAGCCCTCCCTGTACCAGGACACTGTACCTCAGAGACAAAACCAACCTAACCAACATCAACCATAGCTGATCTCTTCTCGCCTCCTTGCAGCCCCCCCGGGTTCACCACTGGAATGCCTTCCACCCTCAGCAAAACCCGGATCTCTCTACAAGGCCTCACACTCCTGCCATTTACAGGTTACAGGGCAACGCCCCAGCTCCGGCCAGCGTCGTTCTGGCATCGGCAAACCAAGGGCACAAAACAGAGCAACTCAGTAGATATCAGTCCAGGTTCAACCATCTCTGAAGTCCTATATCCCGAATGTGGAAGAATGCTAGATGCTGCCAAAATTTCAGAACACAAAAAAGCTTAATATAACAATAATCAGATGATGATATTAATGATTTGATGATGATGATGATGATGATGATGATGATGAATATGATGATGATGAATATGATGATTAGTATATAGAAAATATAGAAGACTATGTTATCACAACACTTCAGCCTCCTAATCTTCAAACCCTCCCAGCCCTCCCTGCACCAGGACATTACATCTCAGAGACAATACCCTCCTAACCAATGTCTACCATAGCTGACCTGTTCTCGCCACCTAAACTATCCCTGGCCCCATAGATTGTCAAGGCAGCCCCTCCGGTTCGCCACTGGATTGCCTTCCTCCCTCGGCAAATCCCCAGATCTCTCTACAAGGCCTCACACTCCTGCCAATTGCAGGTTACAGGGCAACGCCCCAGCTCCGGCCAGCATCGTTCTGGTATTGCCAAACCAGGGGCAAAGACAAAGCAACTCTGTAGATATCGGTCCAGATTCGACCATCTCTAAAATCTTATATCCCGATTAAGGAAGGAGGCCAGATACAGCCGAGAATTACAGCACAGCAGAAAGCATGATATAACATGGATGATGATAATGATGATGATGATTTTGATGATGAGATGATTCAGAAAAAATCCCCCCTCTCCCTTCCTTCCTCCATTCTCTCCATTCCCCTATCTATCCCTTTACCCTAATCTGCCCCCGCTGGGATTTGATGCCCAGCCCCAGAAAAGAGTATTCCTCACAATCTGCCCGTACCCCCTCCAGGGTGTCACCACCCGCCTAATGAAACCCCTGCAGGGCTGGGCTCTCCCCCTCCCCCTCACCAAAATGTCATTCGCTTGGACAGCACCCTGAAGATAATGATAATGAGGATGATGATGACGACCCACTCACCTGCTGATGCGAAAGGCGAACGATGCCTTGAAGAGCAAACTCTAATGATAACAAACTAATAATGATGATAATAATCATCATAATGATGATAATGATGTTGATGATGTCGATAATGATGATGATGATAATGATGATGATGATGATGATGATGCTGATGATGAAGACACCAATGATGATGCTCATAATGATGATGATGATGATGATGAAGACACCAATGATGATGCTCATAATGATGATGATGATGATGATGATGAAGATGATGATGACGCACCAATGAAGATGCTCATAATGATAATGGTGATGTCAGTAATGCTGCTGCTGCTGATGATGATGATGAAGACACGCCAATGATGATGCTCATGATGATGATGATGATGATGATGATGATGAWGATGATGAAGATGATGATGACGCACCAATGAAGATGCTCATAATGATGATGGTGATGTCAATAATGCTGCTGCTGCTGCTGATGATGATGATGATGATGTCCGCTGGGCCCAAAGGAAGCTCTGGTTGAAAAGCACGCCAGGCTCCATACTGATCATACACGGACGCGAGTTCGAATCGACATGATGAATCTGATGGAAGCAGTGTGGGCATTGCCACGATCTGCAGTTCAACAGCTTCATCCTCGGTTGCTGGAAATTACGTCACGTTATGTTATTTGACGTCATGGCGGTGTGGCTGACCGCACCCTCATCAGTCACACATCGGTGTGACATCTTTGATTAAACCTCCAGTACCTTTTGGCAGCTATTTTGCGGAGACGCGCCAGGTAACGTGGGAGGTCTGCGCGGGGTTCGGTGCTGCTGGACACCGAAATGGCTGGCAGCACCAGGCAAAATGAGTCCCGCGGCGGTCCGTTTTTTTTTTGTTTTTTTTTTTTCCTTTGGGCGAGCAGGGCGATCTTTTGGCTTGGCTTAGATAGCTGAGAAAGGTACTGGTGGTTTAAAAGTTTAAAATTTGAAGTTTTAAAACCTCCAGTCCCCTCTGACTATAGAGACGTGTGACTTTTGTGAGTGCGCTGAGTTGGGGAGGGTTTCACGGGGACAGTTGGCCCTACTGCCGGCGGGGGATCAGCAGCAGCGAACAGAAATTTTGTGTGCAGTGTGCAGTGTGCAGTGTGCACCGGCACATGTTTGTGCTCAAATTTGTTTGGGAGAATGTTTCTGAAACTGGTCAGGCACGTTGGTTTGGTGCTGATTCTTTTCACAAGTATTTTACGAAGTCGGTATTTTAAAAATAAAAATAAAAACAAACAAACTATGGTTTCAAAACTTCTCAAAATGTTTTTTTTGCGCTCAAAAATTCCAAATGTGTTTTTTCCTTTTTCTTTTTTTTTGCACCTTTTTGCTCCCCACCACCACCATCAACTGGAGGCCTTTCGCTTACCAAGGGAATGCTCTACCACCTGAGCTATGTGGGCTCACAGAGAAATAAATTTGCAGACGATCAGACTTGAAGTTGAGCCCATAACTTCCTTGCGTCTGTAGGTTTGCTGGTAATAGGAATATCTGAATGCCCCTCCTCCCCGGGTGCTGCAAGAGCGATTTTGTAGATGATGAGGGATTCAGAGTAGGGATATGACGTTAGACTGCGATGGCCAGTTAATCCCCTCGGTTGAGGGCAATCAATGCTGCTCATCGGATTGATGATGTGTGCCTGCGTGCCGACTCAGGTGACCACTCATGTTTATAGTAGCATCGACGAGTGGCACGGTTACATAACTCCTGTTTGTTTACAAACTACCCCTTCCTAAAATGATTAGGGATGCTGGACCCCACCAATAGATGGAGCCTGTGG